TGGAAGAAATATGCACAGTTCCAAGGCAGCCTGTGTGGAATGGTGTCTTCACAGTGCTAAGGAAATCCCAAGTCAATGGAAAGATTTCCATGGCGTGGAATTAATCAAAGACAATTTTACGGAGGAGGTGAATCTTGAGCATGGACTTGGAAGTATTATTGGAGATGAGAAAGCATCCCTGGGAAGAGGAGCAGAATGGGGGCTTGGGGGGGCGGGAGGAGCAGGGCTTGTTACAGGAGCAGGGGGAGATTGGAAAAGAGACCCTAAAGCGGGAACTTCCGGAGAAGAATGAGATGTAAAATGGGCCAGGCTGGGAAGTTTAGAATGGTTGAAGAGCTGGGAACCACTATAAGTCTTCAAATGGGAATATTATGATGCAAGATTTGTGTTTCAGGAAAACTGGTGTGGGCGCCATTGGGTTAGACCACAGAGGACTGCTCTGGTGTTCAGGTGTATTTACCTGAAAATAGAGAAGGAAATTACTGAACCTGAGTGCATTTTAGGAGGTGTTTGTCAAGTGTTTTTGAGATCCGTAAAGAATATTTCTTGGGGGCGCCTGGGTGGCTCAGTTGGTTAAGCGACTGCCTTCGGCTCAGGTCATGATCCTGGAGTCCCGGGATCGAGTCCCGCATCGGGCTCCCTGCTCGGCAGGGAGTCTGTTTCTCCCTCTGACCCTCTTCCCTCTCGTGCTCTCTATCTCTCATTCTCTCTCAAGTAAATAAATAAAATCTTTGAAAAAAAAAAAGAATATTTCTTGGGGCACCTTGGTGGTTCAGTCAGTTAAGTGTCTGAGTCTTGATCTCGGGGTCGTGAGTTCAAGCCCCGCGTTGGACTCCATGCAGGATGTGGAGCCTACTAAAAAAAAAAAAAAAAAAAAAAGAATCTTTCTCTACAGTGGTGGAAATGAAGTGGCGGAGGGGAGAGAAGTCTCCATCATCCTGCTCCCGCCCTACCTGCCCCCACAGAAATCATGGAATCACTGGAGACACTAGGAGTGTGGCCAGAGTTCACAAAGGGAGACACTCCCTTCCCAAAGACTGCTAAGAGTGTCTGTCAGGAACGCTGACAAAATTGCAAAGGTATTTTTTTTAAGGAGGTTCCACACCCCAGTTCGAACTCACAACCCCGAGATCAGGAGTCATGTGCTCTACCGACTGAGCCAGCCAGGTGGACTGCAGATGTATTTTTAATCACACGTTCCATAGCTCCTCCTTGGGTCACACAGAAAGAATTAGCCAGTGGCAACCAGGAAAAGGCTCCCATGGAGGCTGTTGGTTATTTCTGGGTAGGTTTTTAGGTGTGAGGGTGCCTGTCTGGGACAACGGGGCAGGTGTGGGATGTGACACCATTTCATGTGTGACTCATACCTTACTTGAGTTCTTGGGCTCTGGGGGAGGTCAGTCCTGAGCACCCAGTGGTGGCTTTTGTGAACAGCTAATGACCTTGTCAAAGCCCTTGCCGTGGGGGTGGGGGGTGGGGGGTTGTGTTTCATGGTGGCACAGCTCTGAGGTGTGTGTGGAAGCACAGGTCAGCCCCACTTGTCTGCGTCTTTCTCCTTGGGCTCCTACCTCTGGGCTAACTACTTAAGGGAATGAAGAATGATGACTGAATCCAAAAAAGCAAGAGGACCTGGAGCCCTGTCTTCAGATATGCACCCCTTTGGTTGTGATGGTAAAGCCGGGCATCGCAGTCTCAGTAAGGGACATGGCACAGTGGGGTCCGGGATGTGGGGTCACAGCCCAGCCACCTCCCTATCTCCACAGCAGTTTGAAGAGAGGTGGGCTGGGCAGGTATTTCAGAGTCTGGCTTTCCCTACACGACCGCGAAGAATGTACACTATCACCCTTTACCCTTCTTGATTCTTGCCCCGGCTTTCCTTCTCCTTGCAGTAGTCACTGGACCTAACCCAGGAGGCGTTTACTTGCTCACTGCCGTGTCTCTGGCCCTTAGAGCAGTAACTGGCGCAGACGAGGCCCCCGGTGCACCTTTGATTAATGACTTTAATGAATAAACAAATAACTGACTGAAGAAGTAGGGCAGAGCAGATGTCTGACCAGCTCCTTCCGGCCCTCTGGAGGCATCTTCCCCTTCCCTGGCCCTCTACCACTAAATGACAGAGACCCTGGAGTCCCCCGTGTTTCACTGTGTTTGCTGTGTTTGATAGCGGCATTCACCCCCCCAGCAAGGGGAGAGGCTTTCGTTCTCTGAGGAAATCCGTGGTTATGACAAAAGGCAGAACAAGGAATTCCCTCCCCTGTCTTTTCCGTATTTACTAGATCTTTCTTCCTATGCAAAGAAGAGCCTCCCCTGGTTGAGTCCTGCTGTAAACCTCACCTGTGAGCACACACAGGGCTTTCCATGTGTCCCACTCATCAAAGCCCAAACCATCTGGCTCCACCCAGCTTCCCTCCACCCCGGCTGGGCTGAGGCCAGAAGTTTCCATGCTGCCCATGCTGATGAAACCAATCACCAGTCTTCACTTTCCTCCTCCTGGCTTGGCACAAGGAAAGCCAAGAATGTAAGCCAGGGCCGAGAGCTGGGCCGTCGGGCTCTGTGACATGCTGAGGGTGGCTCACATCTGCCTGCATCCTGACAGAGAACATCCTGAGGGGTTGTCGTGGAGGTGGGGGGGGGGGATGGCGTGCAATTTCAGGTGCCACACATCTGGAAGGCAGAGAAAGAAGTCACCACACGTGCGGCAGTCTGTTTTTTTCTTTTGAAAGTTTTTAAAATATATATATTTTTAATGCACGGCCAGTTTGATGGAAAGCACAGCATGGTAGGAACAGCTGGGCCGTGAGCCCTGTCTCCGTTTATGCTCGTGAGGCACCGAGGGGTGGGATTAGCAGCTCTTGGGAAGTTTGGCCCTAGCTGGCCTGTCGCTGGGAAGTCAAAGCCACAGTGACCGTTAGCAGGCACGGACTCCTGTCCTTGGCTCAGAAACGGTGCCCCCCCGCCCATGTGGCCTCGGTTGAACCTAGGAGTTGCAGAGCCAGAAAGATTTCACAGGAGCTTGACGAAAAGGTGTGGCAGAAGTGAGAGACGCTGGTGTGAGGGGGCCATCCCCGGGGATAAGACGTGTCACCCGTTGGGAGACAGAACTCAGCTCTCGGGCAGTAGGAACGTGTGAGGATGTGTGGGGCCGGCGGGAGGCGCGGTGGCGAGAGGGTAGCTGCGGGGGAGGGAGGAGGACCACAGGGGAATGGGGGCAGCTCAGACTCCTCAGTCCCCAAGGACTGGTAGGTGGAGTTGAGGATGTTTGCACAAGGAAACCCTTTGAAGCTCTTCTCTTGGCCTCCCCTCTCTGGACCTGGTTCCCTCCCCTCCATAAAGCCATTAGCTTCTGGTGCCGGCCCTATCTCTGCTCCATCTCTCTTGGTTCCAGTCGGTGCATTCACAGACCTCCTGCCCTGAGGGACGGGGAGGATTTATGGGGGGTAGAAGGTAGAGGGGGAGGGGGTGTCCTTTAGAGGAGGCGAGGTCTGTTAGGAAAGTAGGGTGTGGGGAGCTGTTAGTCGGCGGCGCTAGAGGCCGGATCATTTCCGAGCGGGCTCTGCATGACAAAGGGGAAAGAGCAAGTTTCTTCTTTGATCTGCCCCCTGCCGGCCCCACACACCTGCCTGTTGGTGCTCCCGCCCCAGCTGAGACCTCAAGAAGAAAAACCAAAAGGGGGTGGGGACCAGGCTGTAGCCCAGCTTCCCTGGATCCTGTTCAGGCCACCTTCCTCTCTTGGTGGCCCCAGGACAAAAATATCTCCTAGGCTGATGACCCGAAGCACCTGCCGCCCCCTCCCGGAGAGCCTGGAGACCCGGGGCCGCGGGAGCCGCGCGGTGAGATGGGGTGGGGGCGGCTGGGAGCGCGCGCGCCAGTGTGTGTGTGCGTGTGTAGAGTTGGAGGTGTTAAGGGGTCCTGGGAAGAAGACTCATTGGAGATGTGGGGTCACGCCCTGGATGAAAGCTAAGGGGGAAACGAGGTGGGGGTGAGTGGGAGGGGGCGTGTTTTTATAGACTTGCTCTAGGATCCAGAAGCAAGGATTTTCCACTTGTTTCCAAGGGCTGGAGGAAGGGTGCTCTTTCGGGGATACAGGCACAGGCGTGAGTTACAAAAAGCATAGGCAAAGATGTGGGAAGCTCTTGAGCTACAAGGGAAGGGGTCGTTGCTTCTGGAAGATGCGTCCTCGGCGCAGACCGTTGAGGCCGGCGTTGCAGAGCAAGAGCTCGCTGTTGCCGTCAGTGCTCCTGGCCGCCCCTCGAGGGCCACAGCGCAGAGGAGGGGAAGGAGGCCACCTAGGAAGAGACCACTTCACCCAAGGGAGCTTTAGGGGCACATGGCACTTCTCAGAGAAGTTGCCCTGAGAAAGTGCAAAGTCCTCGCCCTTCTGTCTGCTCTATTCCTGGTAAACAAGAGCTGGGATGTGGAAACTTCCTTGGAGTGAGAAGGGTACAGATTGGGAGGGAAGACTCCTATTTGGCTGCAGGCAAATCCAACTCACCAGCTGTTCTTAGCCCAGGAAGGAGCGCTCTGACCGGAGTGAGCCGTACAGGGAGGCGTGGATGGTGCCCTGGCTTCTTTGGGGGTTCTGGAAGAAGGGCAGGTGTGAGCTGCAGCAACCACAGCATCTTCCTTGATGCTACCTGGAGCACATTCTGTTCTGGAAATGACTTGTTTTCATTTCTCTTTTCTAGTTTCTCAGCTCATTGTTTCCTTTGGAATTTGGTCCTGGGTAGGGTTCCCACAGTTTGGGGTAAGAGACACAAAAGCGGTCCCCTGGTGAGAAGAGTAGCAGTAGGAGGTGGAGGGTGGAAAGAGGCTGAATCTCTTTGTGGGGGGAGCAGAACTTGACATTAGCCGCCCCCCAGCACCTCATCCTTGGTGCTAACCCCCTCCTCCTGTCCCCGGGTCCTGCCTCATCGGCTGCATCTCTACATTGATGCTCCCTCCGTTCTGTCTTCTCCAGGGAGCCCCATTTCGGAAGCCGACCACCCCCGGGGTCTTCCCAGGGCACTGGGGGGGCCCGAGGCCGAGGCCCACCATGGCCAGCCTCCTGCTGCTAGCCGCTGCTCTGCTGTCCAGCTGGGCCCAGCTTCCGGCCGAAGCCAGCTCCTGGTGGTGAGTGAGAGCGGCTGAGGCCCTTCTCTACAACCTACACCTCCTTTGGTAATTAAATGTGGAGAAGGGTCACCGTGTGTTGTGATCATTCCTTTATTGGTAGGAATCCTAAGGAACGCTTTCATCCCAGGAAAACTAGCACAGCCTTTTCTCGCACAAGCCCCCAGAGGTAAATGTTCAGCGAGGATAAAGGATTAGTTCATTTGGGTTTTTCCTCTGATCCTGTCTGTTTTCCCCTTTTTTGGGACCTTCCTCCGTCCCCATGGGTTGTTAGAAAGAGCTCTTGCGTTGCTATTGGATCAATAAGAACATTGATTTCTTTTATTCCGGTGGGGGCAAGGAGAGTAGAATTCCTATTTCATAAGTCTGAAGACCAGATGAGAGGTTGAGAGATTTGCAGGACCCTTGTGTGGCCTTCTTTTGTGTTTTTAAGACTATTGTCATGGCCAAGTCAACCTGGAAATGGCCGGCCCTCCCCTCCTATCTTGCCTGGTCTGGGCCCCGCTCACATTTGTACTCAGATGGCACATCTACAGTCTTCTCATCTAACTGAACACTTTACTCTGTCTGGTAGAGATGAGCCAAAGCGAGAGCCCCTGAACGGATGGATAGAGTGGGTTAGGGGATTTGTGGGTGGGATATGGAAGTGAAAACCTTTAGACTGTGTTGTGATGTATGTAAATTGGCTTCTGTCTGCAAGGCATAAGGGCAGTGCTATTTGAAGGAATTTATTGCTTTCCATCACATACCCCGCGTACAGGCTAAAGTGAATGAATCATCTGCGCCCCCTTAACGAGTCATGTGCTCTCCTGTTAAGGTTTGGCTGTTTCTGTCCTCCGCCTGGAATGAATGTCCTCTGCCCTCTCTGTTGCCCTCCTCTGCCTGCCCCCATCCCTTAAGACCCACTTCACACTCTGGCCATTGCCTTATAAAATCTTTTCTCTGGCTGTAAGAGCTCTTTCTCTGTCTGATCACTGTGGATCCAGAAGCTCAAGTCTGGCTTTGGCCCTTGACACCTCCCGTGTCATCTGCTTTTGTGCTTCAGTTTCCTACAGTGCCCTTTGAAGGCAGGGCCTCTGTCTGAGGACGTTTCCTTTCCAAACCCTTAGTACAGGGCCTTGCACACAGAAGGAAAGCACTTGCTAAATGTGTCGAATGAATGACTTCATGCTGCACACGGCACACGCTCACCCCTTGGCCTTCTGTCCTCTCTCTGGCTCTCCACTGTAGGTCCTTAGCTATGAGCCCGGTGCAGAGACCCGAGATGTTTATCATCGGTGCCCAGCCCGTGTGCAGCCAGCTTCCTGGGCTTTCCCCTGGCCAGAGGAAGCTGTGCCAACTGTACCAGGAACACATGGCCTACATCGGGGAGGGAGCCAAGACGGGCATCAAGGAGTGCCAGTACCAGTTTCGCCAGCGGCGGTGGAACTGCAGCACGGTGGACAACGCGTCCGTCTTTGGCAGAGTCATGCAGACAGGTAAGAGCCACTGACACACGGCTGGCTAGAGGAGCCGGGCTCACCCCCCAGGCCTGGCACAGGGAGCCCTCACCAGTGTCTAAATGAGTTCTTCAAGGCTTGGAAGTGGTGTGCAAGGGGAGAGGGAGATGCACACAGGAAGCGGAGTCTCAGATGCCGTGTTGGCCACCCAGCGAGCACTCGGCGAGCCCTCCGCTCCCAGCTTCACCCTGTCTGCAGCGGTCAGCGGCCGCTCGCTCTGGGAGGGTGGCAGAACAGCGGAGTTGAGTCAGAGTGGATTAGCACTGCCCTTTGTCTCAGCACAGGGGACGGGGGGGGGGCATGCTTTGACAGCATTGGGTAGAGAACTGAAAATTGCAGCTCTGAAAGTCTAGATGACTTTTACCTCTGCCACTTGGACCCTGAGAGAGAGATAGAAACTTTGGGCCAAATTGGTGATAGCCGTCATTAACCTGACCCAGTTCCAGTCCTGGCTTTTTCATTCCAAAGGGATGTGTGTGAATGTGGGGGAAGGGGACAGACCCAGAAGAAAGATGAGAGGCCACCCCTTCCTGGATTCCTGTCCCTTCCCCTCTCCCCCCTGCTCTCCGTCTGCCCTATTGCTTAGATGGAGGTGTGATTTGGGGTCTAATTGTTTGAGGTCCTTTTGAAATGCAATCCTCCCCTCCCTGGCAAGAAATTGAGAAATCCGGCCCTATTCTACTGGGTCTGATCGGCAGGGCCATAGAAGGAAGGTGTCAGGGCACTGTATTCTCCTGTCTCACATTCTCCAAAAGAGTTTCCCCTCCAAGGAAGGAGGGCATTTGGGAGTTACCTGAGGCTGAGTTTTTCCCAAAGAACGATTTTAGCAGCAAGCAGGGTATGAGGAAGGCCCCTCCCTCCTGACCTCTCTCCCCTACCCATGTTGACAAGTGAGGACCAGGGGAAAGTATGCTTTGAACCCTGCTGCCTTCGTCCTTCCTTTAGTATCAGCTCAAGGTCTAGACAAGGAGGGCTCCCGTGTTCCTGCCACAGTCTTACTGGGCAGCTTTCCTAAAAGAATGGACTTGGGGTTAAGTGGGAATTGTTCATAATTTATTGATTCTCCTCAAATACACTTAGTATCTGATGAAGTCTTAGCAGCACTCCCTGTGCTGGGTTCTGGATGAGGAGAGCAGGAGAGCGGGAGGACCCCAGGTGTAGAGAGAGGCATCCACAAATCACTTTCAGGGACCTAATGCATGACTGACATCCCCTAGATCCTTTTCATGTGTAATTTTGTTTGAGTGACAGCCAAAAAGTGAGCTTTACTTGAGGAAAAGAAGGAGTTAGCAGGAATGGAAACGCCACTGGGTGCGGACTGGCTTGGGGGAATGACTTGTGCCAGCCGCACTTCCCATTCTCCCCGGACCCTGTTCTGTTACGAACGGAACCCCCCGCTTGCCTTATTTTCACAGTTTCTTTTTGTAGCTTCCCTGCAGACTTATGCTAGCTGGGGAGCTATCCTCCATTCATGCCCTTGATCCCAGGGTGGCTCCTGGGGAATCCTCTCTCTCTCTCTCTCTCTCTCTCTCTCTCTCATATATATGACTTCCAAGAAAGTCCTCCCTTCTTTGAAGCTGCTGCCAGAGTCCACCACCAGAGGGCAGCAGAGCACCTTGGAGGGAGCCGTGGTGCATGGCTCGGCCTTGGTCAGGGGCGCATGGGGGCACCTTCGTGGTAGTTGGGTGGCACTACTGAGGAACAGAGAGAGAGGGCGTGCTCCTGTCCTGCTGTCTCCTTGTAGGGGGAAGATGCCATGTCTCTCTAGCAGCATCATGGCTGCGGGTTTATTAGCCTTTATCCTTGAGATGGTTTGTGTCCACTCTGAGTTGTTGCACGTATAGAGAAGCCCTCCAGCTTGCTTGTCCATTCTGAAGCCCTGCATTATGTCTTGCTGGCTGAGAGCAACACTAGTAGTCTGCACTTAGCAGAGGACCCAGTTGCTCCCCAGGAATGCAAAGCTGCCCATCCTAGGTGCTCCAACCAAAAGAGGCAGAGCACCTGCAAGGACAGCTAATCCACCTGAGGACAGAGTGGGATCCGAACCCATCATGATGGGCCAGCACGGTCAGAGCACAGAGTGTCTGCAGTATTATGCTCAGATGCGGGCACATTATTTTGAAAGGCAATTCTGAGAGGCATGATTCAGCTCGGAAAAGCATGTTTGCTAAAGAACTGAGGAAGAAATCAGACTTATGTAGCTGGAAACGACAAAACATAAAAGGCCTATCAGTTGTTTTCAAATGCTGAAAGGTTGTCAAATGGGAAGGGATTAGACAGCGTAGCTCCAGCGGCCGAAAGTTATAGGGAGGCATTTTTCAAATGACTATAAGAAAGAATGTTCTGCTGATTAAAGTCATGAAAAGATGATGGGCTGGGTTGTCTTGAAAACCCAGCCCGCTTCCCTGAGGAATGCTGTGAAAAGGAAGAGTCACAGTGGGAGGGATGTAGGTCGGGCTGCAGATCAGGGCTCCTCCCTGTCCCAGGATGCCAGGTCAGGGGCTTGCGACTCCATCTCAGGAAGACTTCTCAGGCCTGGCTCCCCCACCGAGGGGAATAGGCCCTCCTCCCGACAAGCCAGTCGGTCACCCTAGCATCCTGGTTGCTCATTCTCCTAGTCTGACTACCCTAGATTAGATAGAGCCCTGGTCTCTGGCAGTGGATTAGCACTGACTCCGATGTCAGTCCTGATGGCTGAATCATGAGTGTGACTTCCCACCTCATCTGGGTTTTTCTTGTCCTGCTCCTAGTCTACGTCTGACCAGAAGCTGACCCCTGGTTCCTTGAGAAAAACTGACTTGGCCAGTCTGGTCTGGTTGCAAGCTTGACTGTGTCCTACCTAGACAATCAAGAAGGAAGGCAAAGTGAGAGACCAGTTGAGGATTGTAGACTGCTTCTGTCTCGACCTGCCAAGACAGGATTATGGGAGGTCTACTTTTTTTTTTTTTAAGATTTTATTTATTTATTTGAGAGAGAGAGTGCACAAGCAGGGGGGAGGGGTAGAGGGAGGAGCAAACTCCCTGCTGAGCAAGGAGCCTGATGTGGGACCCAGGACCCTGGGATCATGACCTGAGCCAAAGGCAGATGCTTAACCGACTGAGCCACCCAGGCGCCCCTATTTTATTTTATTTTTAAGATTTTGTTTTTTATGTAATCTCTATACCCATCGTGGGGCTTGAATTTACCACCCCAAGATCAGGAGTCACATGCTCTACCGACTGAAGCAGCCAAGCGCCCTACTACCTGCCTTTTTGATTCTAGCCATCCTCGTGAGTGTACAGTGGTATCTCATGGTGATTTTTCAAAGATTTTATTTATTTGTCAGAGAGAGAGAGAGAGCACAAGCAGGGGGAGCACCAGGCAGAAGGAGAAGCAGGCTCTCCACTGAGCAAGGAGCCCAATGCGGGACTCGATCCCAGGACCCTAGGATCATGACCTGAGCCGAAGGCAGACGCTTAACTGACTGAGCCACCCAGGCATCCCCTCATGGTGATTTTGATTTGCATTTCCCTGGTGGCTGAGTATTATTAATTATAAACATTTTTATTGAAGTGGAACGTGCATCATAGGAGTTTTTAAGTGGTTCACTGCAGCGATAGAGAGGAACACAGTTCAGAGTTTCTACTGGAAGTGATCTGGACATTTGGTGAGATGGTGCTGAGTATCCTGTGGATGTTGGTTCCCCAGTGCTCTCAGGTTGGGAGGCAGCGTGGATCCCGTGCAAGACAGAGGGAAACAGCATGGATGATTCTGGACATTGTAATTCTGGCTTGCTTCTCCTTCTCGTCTCTGCCACTGTCTAGCTAGATAATGGCAACAATAAAAAAGACAGATGTGTGGCCCATCGAGGGGTGAGAAATTGGCAGCTGTGAGGGAGAGGTTTTTGCTAGGATACAGAGTCCTACTATTGGTCCCATGATTTCTACTCTGGTTCATTCTGTTCATCCCACATGTCCCATAAATTCCTTAATGCCCACCCTTCCCTCCATTTAGGTCTGCCTCCTCGGAATCTACTGGCCATGTACCCTTCCCTGGAATGGATGTTAGCGTGGGCCAGGGCTGGAGGAATTCATTCTAGTCTGTGTGTTCACAGGGTAGGGGAGGCAAATTTCTGCTCGTCATGAAGAGCAGTTTCCAACCCTTAGAGCCATGGGAAGTGAAAGACGCTTCTCCTGACATCGTTTCGCCTCCTGGGAGTGTTACCGGCCAGGCGATGGTGTTGTGTCCCGGAGAGGCAGAAGGAAGGAAAGGGCCTCCGTAGGAGACTGGCATCCCTCCCCCGTCTCCCGCCTTCTCTTGCAGGGAGCCGGGAGACAGCCTTCACGTACGCAGTGAGCGCCGCGGGGGTGGTGAACGCCATCAGCCGGGCCTGCAGGGAGGGTGAGCTCTCCACGTGCGGCTGCAGCCGGACAGCGCGGCCCAAGGACCTTCCCCGGGACTGGCTGTGGGGCGGCTGCGGGGACAACGTGGAGTACGGCTACCGCTTTGCCAAGGAGTTCGTGGATGCCCGCGAGCGGGAGAAGAACTTCGCCAAGGGGTCGGAGGAGCAGGGCCGAGTGCTCATGAACCTGCAGAACAACGAGGCGGGGCGGAGGGTAAGCGGAGCTCTCCTACCTCCACGCGCGCGCGCGCCCGCACCGCAGGCTAACCAGCTGTTCCTGGGCGGAGCTGGGAGCCGTAGCCTGGCCATGAGGAAGGGGGTCGTGCTGACTGCGGTGATGCTGACCTACAGCCGCCGACCTAGATGCCCGCATTGCCGACCTGATCCATTTCACGAGGCTCCATTCCCCAGCAGGGCACGTGCAATTGTCATTTTTATGAACCTTGTTTATTTCTCCCAAGGACAGCTGTCCCTAGAGCACTTAAGGAGCAGCCTCGTCATCAGGATTCCGGGCCCTCGAAGTAGAGTTCTTGTCTTCACTGCCCCTCCTCTGCAATGGGAGCAGATAGGACAGCCGCCAGTTAAGGCCGTTAGACCCAGCCTAGGGTTTATGATTTGTGAGAGGTGCAGGCGGAAGCACAGCTGACTTTTAAGAGCTGCTATCTCGCACATCCGGAGGCCCGATCCAAAAGCAGGGGTCGGCGCTAATGGCAGACACACTTTTACACCCAGAGTGCCTTGCGGGAGCCGAGTGGGAGAGAGAACCATCTTTTGAAGGCTGTCTCACCAATCACATGTGAGACGTGACTGTTTCTGAGTCTCAGTTTCAGTAGAAACTCAAATGTGGGCTTTGAGGTGAGCGTGGTTTCCCGCACGTGTGGAGCATAGCTGGGCATCGGCTCTAGGCTTCCTTGATGGCCAGGCGGAGGGCGTGCGCCTTCTCTGCCTGCACCTCGCTCGTGAGGACCTCACCCCTGGGCACATGCTCGGTCTCTACTTCCCTTTGCTGCTCCTGACATGGTCTGCCTCCGCCACAGGATCCCGGAGGGCTCGCGCAGGCAGCAGCTCTGCTTGCCGCTGGTTCGGGGTTATCTCCCGTGTGGAGGGGAGGGTGGGGGTGCATCAGGGTCTCCCTTATAGAGAGGCGTGAGATCTGAGTGCTGGGTGGTAGGAGTAGCTCCCGGCACAGGGCCAGGGCGGACCACAGACCTCTCAGGAAACTACACAGACTTCTTTCTGGGCGTGTTTTCTGCATTCAGGTCTGTGTCGAGCCCCTGGCTCAGGGGCCCAGGCAAGATACTGTCGTGAGACCAAAGATGAAGTAATGAAACAATGAGACTAGCAGTTTCCTGAGAAGAAATCAATTCAGAAAGTTTATGTTGGTTCATTGGTGATTCAGGAACAGGATATGGATATATTTCTAAAAGAGTAATTACCAATTTAAAAGATTGACTCATGTTTCATAGGAGCACGTATCAAATAAATAGAATTGAAATGGCTTTTCTGTGAATCGGGACCTGTGATGTTGGCTTGGTAGAACGTGGTAGGCTTGTGTAAACTTAGTCCCGTCAGTAGTGTGATGTCAAGTTGAAATCAGCGTTGGTCATTTGCCCCGTGTCTTCCTTTCGGAGCCCATATCCGAGGCTAGATGTGGGTGTGAGGGGTCGTGTTAATCCGGGGCAATATTAGGAGTTCTGGCTGTTGCTCTGGTTCAAACCAGGGCACGGAGAACAGCACGGTCTTAGATGACTCTCCACTCTGAGGGCATCTGTGGGGCCACCTCTGTCCCCCACAACTTCCCCTCTGGCACTCTGCTTGTCAGTCTTTGGGGCTCTAACCACGAGAGACTGGGAAAAAAGGTTAAGATCTTCACTTTATCTCCCAAATGCCCAAATTCTATCCATTTTTTAAGATCTCAGTTCAGATACCACCTATTCCTTAAAATCTTTCCCATCCTCCATCATTAGTAGGCTCTCTGCCTCTGAACTGCGGTAGGTTATTTGCTACATTTTTGAGGTCTGGCCTACTTCACCTCCTCCCTCTGGCTGGAGATTTCTCAGCCCAGGGATTCCGTCCATAGCTCCCCGTGCTTTACACGGGTGGGTGGGCGCATGTGAATCCGAGCAAAGTTCCCATACTGCCGCCTAGGAAGAGGTCAAATTCATGGAAGGCTGTTTCCTGTCTCTCCTCTGAGCTATCCTTGGGGCGTTGCGGCAGATGCCGAGGTGACGGCATTCATCCTAATCTGGGCTCCACTGCAGTCACAGTCTTGACCCCACTTCTGCTGGCTCCTCGTTTTATTGCCCTTAATTGTTTGTTTGTTTGTTCTGGCCCTTATCTTGGCCAACCTTCCTTCCATCTGCCTTGTTTCTCGCTTGCACACCTTCCCCGTCTTCCTCTGTCTGTCTCCCTGCCTTTGGGCCCCCTTCCCCCCGTCTCCACACCTCTTCCACAGTCTTTATCTCTCCCTTTGCTTCTGTCTGCACCAGGTTGGGAATTCCTGTCCCTCTCTATTTTTTATCCTCTCTCCAAGGAGCAGGCCTCCGCCATCAATCACCATCTGAGGCCAAAGGTATTCACCTCCCACCTCCTCACACCTACACAAAAAAATTCCGTAGGAAAGACTAAAATGGTGGCAGGAATTGAAAATTCCCTGGATTGTATTTTACAACCAGTTAATTTTATTTTTTTTAAGTCATCTCTACACCCAACATAAGGCTCTAACTCCCAACCCCAAGATCAAGAGTCGCACGCTCCACCGAATGAGCCAGCCAGGCATCTCAACCCCAAATTTTTTTTAATGGACTATCTAGGATCTGACATCTTGGCCACAGAGTAGATCTGGGGCATACTTTGCAGGAAATTTCTCTTGGCCTTTGAGAGTCTCTAGTAACCCCATTTTAGACATTGATGGCCAGAGCGGTGGGTTGATACTGCCTTGTCACTCAAGGGCTTAAGCACTTTCCAGATAAAAGCTGCCTAATCCTCGTGACATTACTATCAGTTACCAAGCTCAGTCCTACCATTAGACAGTGCAGAAGAGGGACTTAGGGCTTTGCCAGGAGGCAAGACGTAGAACTAAGAAAATGTTTTAAAAATCAGCTTTTGTGGCTTTTTCAGTTAGCAGGAAAGGCTAAAAATTGGGATTATTATTAATTTTTTTTTTTTGGCCTTCTCCTGTCAGAGGAGCTTCTATATATTATCAATAGTGAAATACCTAAGAATACAACTATTACAGTGTCTTTCTTCATAGAGGAGGGCTGGAATGAATGTCTCCTTAGTGAAGATCAGTGACACTTTCCTCTCGGATTTGTTTTACGAAAGCTCCCGTTCTTACTCTGTGGAGTCTCCTTCAGCTCTCCTTCCTCAAATCTCCCTAAGTGTTGGCTTCCAGTAGAGATGCTTATCCTGTCCCCTTGGTCACTTAGTGGCAGGGTACACAGTTTTAGGCCCTTAATGTTTCCTGCTTCCAGCAGCGCCAGATGCCTGACCTCCTTCTCTAAACCAAGGGCCACTTCCAGAGGAATGTCAGGCCCCAGCTCAGACCGGGGTGGGGGTGGAGGGGAATATGTGCCAGAAGAGAGTAATTGCAGACCCCATCTTTGAAGTGCCTGTTGGAATGGGGTGTTGGTTTCTTTATGCCCTGAGCCTGGAGCTGCTAGCCCAGTGCTGGTGCCTTTAACCTTGGGGAGGAGCCTCCTTCCTGCTCTACCCTAAGCCGTTTTTAAGCCCCAAGATTGGAGTGCAATAGGGCTAGGCATTCTGACTCCCTTCTGGGTGGCCCTGAACAGATTATTGAGCCTCTCTAGAGCTTCAGTTTCTCCAACACAAAATAGTAGGAATAATTCCACACCAGAAAAGAAAAAATCAGGAAGAGTTTTGACAATAGTAATATGAGCTGATGATGCTGAAGCTATTTCTTGCACCTGCAGGGGTGTCGGCACAGCGCTGAATAAAGACACAATCTGGGGACTTTTGAAAAGAAATCTGAGAGAAATCCTTGAAAAATGAGTCCCGACTCATTTGGTGACAATGGCTGTGGCATAAGAAAATGTTCGGCAGCAGGCTTGCATTTTTACCCCGCCGTCTGTACGCCCGGGCCTGCTGCCAGGGCCGCTGGACACAATGCCTCAGGATGCTTTCATTGAAAAGCACTTTGTAAGCAGCATTCTGGTCGACTCTTGCTTTTTAAAATTTTGATTTGAGATAACCCAAGTTCAAATCCACTCCACATTGTTGTGGTTCAGTGGCTTTGGGATGGATTTGTTTTCAGATGAATCACCCCTGTTGGTGGGCCCAGCGACCCGCTCTTGCCTGGCCCAGGGCCCCACCCTCTACCTCCCCACTCAGCCTCTTCAGGGGGTGTCTGCTGGTGCCGGGGTGCAAGAAAATGGTCTTGTTCACAAGTACAGCGTGATTTGTGGTGAGGCCCCTATGACTCCGTGGAGTTAATGACCAGATGTTAACACAGAAAAAGGGACTGTTGAGTTCTTAGGGGATTTGGCGGAAAGTCATGGAGAGCTTTTGCAAACCACCGCCATGCCCGCAGTTTCTGTCGCAGGCTGGTAATATGGCTGGATTTTTTTTTTTCCGACTGTACTCCAACTCATGCAAAAGCCAGACACGGTTTGTTGGTTTGTATTTGTTTGTTTGAGACTTTGGTCAAGGTAGAAATATCCTTTTTTTCCCCTGATCGTAAATATGATACATGTATCATAACAAGTTTGAAGCAATAAGAAATGGACAAAGTAGGAAGGGCAAGGGCACCAAATGCCATCGTCCCTGGAGCACTGCCTCCCCAGTGTTTTTCTACGTGGTGCTCCTTTCTTTTATCTGCTTTCAATCTGGGTAACCGAGCTTCCTGGAAAGATCTTTCTGTACATTGGAAGACTACTCTTCCCCCCCCCCCCCCCCCGCCAGCCCTCTTCCGTATTTGGCTTCTGGCGCCCCCAGGCACCCTCCTGACATCTTCCCCCGGGGGTCCTCCTTCTGACCGCCTTCTTTCTCCTCCCCTCAGGCTGTGTACAAGATGGCGGACGTGGCCTGCAAATGCCACGGCGTCTCGGGGTCCTGCAGCCTCAAGACGTGCTGGCTGCAGCTGGCCGAGTTCCGCAAGGTGGGGGACCAGCTGAAGGAGAAGTACGACAGCGCGGCCGCCATGCGCATCACCCGCAAGGGCAAGCTGGAGCTGGTCAACAGCCGCTTCAACCAGCCCACCCCGGAGGACCTGGTCTACGTGGACCCCAGCCCGGACTACTGCCTGCGCAACGAGACCACGGGCTCGCTGGGCACGCAGGGCCGCCTGTGCAACAAGACGTCGGAGGGCATGGACGGCTGCGAGCTCATGTGCTGCGGCCGCGGCTACGACCAGTTCAAGAGCGTGCAGGTGGAGCGCTGCCACTGCAAGTTCCACTGGTGCTGCTACGTCAAGTGCAGGAAGTGCACGGAGATCGTCGACCAGTACGTCTGTAAATAGCCAGCGGGGGCCGCTCTTCCGGCCGCATCTCCACTGCCTCACAAAGTTTATATTATATAAATCTATATAAATCTATTTTATATTTGTATAAATAAAGGGATGGATGATAAATAATTAAAAGAAGAATGGAAAGGAAAAGCTTATTTAAGAGACGCTGCTGGAGATGTTTGAGGATTGCACTGTGCTCGTTCTCTGCTCCTGGGGGAGGGTGGGGGGCCAGGGGCTTTCCCCCCTCCCTCAGGGCGTCGGGACTTGGGGCTAGTCGCTGTCTATCCACCGTGGCCTTGAGGAGACAAGTGGCGGGTAGATGGAGAAGATGATTTTGTCTGGAAGTCTGGAGTCAGCCGGCTGGATGACCGCCCTGTGACCCCCGTCATTAGGCCAGGAGGCCCTGTGCAAGGTGGCAGGAACTGCGCTTACACCATCCCGTCTTCAGGGTCTTGTCCAGAATACAGATTGGTTCCGGAAGAGGCCCGGTGCTTTCTTCCCCTTTCACTCGTGTGCATCCCGGCAGAACCCACAGTTACAGGAATGAGCAGAGGCCCGATGTCATCTCTGCCAGGTGACCACAGAGGGACCCGTGCCTCCCCAGACTCCCAGGCCTGCCTGTCCAGCGAGAATTACTGTCCCTCCACAGTTCACTAGGTCCTGCCAACGGTTCCCTGCCCCGAGGGGAAAGGGGGTCAACTGGCCTGACATGTTAGGAGAGAGATGAACTGAATGTTTGTGCCAGAGCCGTCGTCGAGAGCCAGGGGCGTCCCTGGAGCGAGCGAACATTGCACTGTGCTCCCACGGGGAGAGGAAACGGGGTGCTGCTGCTGTCACTTCCTCCACCACCGGGCCCCCCTGAGCGACAGGATGTGCGACCAGTTCAGGCTCAGCTGGCCTGGCACACTCTTTCCATCTCTGCCCCGGATGTACAGTGTCTCTCTGACATTAAACACCCTTCACTGGAGTGTCTCTCCCTTTCCTTCTTTGGACACATGATTATCTTTCATGAGTCTCCTTTTCTTTTTGATCCGATCCTTAGAACCCTGCTATGCGGCGCGTGCGTGTGGGAGAGGGTAAGGAAATGGACACTTTTTAGGGCTCTAGTCTGGTGGTTGGAGACAGAGACAGAATATTATGAGAACTGAATAAGGTAAAGCATTTAAGCACTCTCCCCAAGGGCCAACACAAAGTTAAATCTCGTAAATGCTAGCTATTACTCTTACTATTAGGAACAAAAAAATTCAGAGATTTCAGTTTAAAACTCATGTTGACCTTCCCTTCTTCTCCCATCCTACAGCCCACCTGGTCACCTCTGGTTTATTCACTGGGTTCTTGGTAAAGCACAGGTGATGGGGACACTCTCTCCAGGCTTCTCTATGTTGCCATGTCCAGTCTTGGACTCCAGGATCTGGAGCCAGGAAAGAGAGGAAGGCAGAGCTCAGGGATGATCCACAAAGGGAGATGTTATATTCTAGAAAGGGAGGCAGTAGTTCCTGGGACACACTGATCCAGGTGCACTGGAGTGACCAGCCTGCAAGTGACCCAGTAAGCCACCCCATAAAGACACCGGTTTTATTCTAGAAAAGTTTACTTCTGGGGAAATAGTGGAATTAGGGAGTCCACTTGGGTTATAATGAGCAAATTATATTGCAAAACAATCTAGAAGAGATTCTGTCAGAATCAGAATCATGGCCATGTATACAACTTGTGTCTTTAGGGCCTAAAGAAGAACCTCCTGACTTGTCATCAAAGAACATCAGACCTCGGGTTATTTCACCCTATTCCTCAAGCTATTACTCAGGTTCCTTTGGTTGACATTTTCAAGATGAATAGTCCACGAAAGAAAGTGATTGAAGTTGACTGGCCTACAAAAGATCCAAACCATGTCCTTGGCTTCATTAGCTGGCATTTAGCCAAACGAACTTGGTCACACAGATCAACCATGATAATAAGGGTTTGGGACGTGGGCTGGCACTATGGCTCTTCCCTACATCACCGTCGTAACTCCTGGAGGGTTACCTTATGTCAGGTGTTCCAAGTGTTTAAGAGCTGAAATCCAGTTCATCTTTAGAAACTTTAGGAAATTAGCCATGAGAGACTAGTCCAGAGAAAGTGACTTCCATGTTCACGAAAGGAGAGGCATCATCCCTGAATTCTTTTGAGGTCTTCTTGCAGAGTCATGGCAAGGGGATTGAGTAAATATTAAATATTTTCTTTCTGACCTAGGGAGCAAGTCATGTGTTCAATTACCAACGCGATTGTTGCAGCCACTGACCACCAAGGTTAGGAAAGATTGAATTGTCCAAATAGATCGTGATGAAGTTATGATTGCATATGGGTTAAGCCCTGATGAGCTGGCAGTTGTCTGTGATGTGACCAGAAATCTGTAGGAATGTGGCTGGAAAATCTGAAAACCAACCTAAGACCGTGAGCTTCTGCTCAGAAACTACACACTGGGGACGCCTGGGTGGCTCAGTTGGTTAAGTGGCTGCCTTCAGCTCGGGTCATGATCCTGGGATCAAGTCCCGTATCGGGTTTCTTGCTCAGCAGGGAGCCTGCTTCCCCTCTGCTTGCTTATCCCCCAGCTTGTGTTCTCTCTCTGTCTCTGACAAACAAATACATAAAATCTTAAAAAAGAAAAAAGAAACCACACACTGTTAGAGCATGGACAGAATGTGGCAGTCAGAGCTCCTGCTCTTCCAGATGAGGACCTCCAGATCTTGAGCAGGTCCCAAACGGCAGTGTGCTGTAAAAATGCAGAGTCCCAGGCCTCCAGCCTCAGAGATTTGTATCCAGTTGGTCTGGGGTAGAGCTGGGACAACTGTCTGAATCTTTAACAAGGCCCTGAGGGCTCCTCTGCTGGTGGTCCAGAGCCTGCCCTGGACCTATGGTCAGGATGAGCTGGCCCACGATCTGCAGGGAGAGAGGCACCTAGGTCCTCTTGGCTACCCTGTGTAGGATTTTTCTAGTACCTGAAATGTATTATGATTAACACGCGGTCTGACTGAAGGATCACGGATGTGATGGATCGTGGATGTAATGCCCGGATGTAAAGAAGTCCTAGCCACCCCAGGGGTCCTTTCTATTGAGGGGAAAAAGCATTCTGGCACAGAGCAGAACTGGTCTGCCCTGGGAGGCTTTACCTCCCTCTGCCTAGGAGCTGTAGGGGGAAGCCTACAGATCTATTACAAATATAGTAAGGGAAGACTCGCTTAGCTATTTCTTTGCATGCATCCATCTTGTCTTTGAAATAAAATTAGGAGAGCGGTATGTCTGCCTGCCTCCATTTAAAAGTCGACAGGAGGGTCAGAAGGCAGTCACAGCTAGGCTTAAGGTGAGGGCAGGCCTCTGTTCACAAAGGCATTCTGATCAGTCGCTCAAGAATTTGGATTCGAAACCCTAATTTGGAGAACTCAGTTCCTGGTCGGCTGCTCTCTATCCCAGGAGGTGAGAAACAAAACTTGCTACGTTTACTCCTCCTTGCTTGCTGCCTCGCTTTGTCATCTGTGGCTGAGAGGGCTCCGCGACACATCGCTCGCTCTCCCAGCTGCAGTCGTTCATCAAAAAAGAAACCTACTGCTTGGGCAGAGAGCCACACGATCCCAAGAAGGTGGAAGAAAATAGTCATTTCCATCTTAAAATGGGCTCTGACGCATAACCAGACCCCACTGACACTGGTCACATGTATCTCAGGAGAACTTCAGTGTGTACATGTGTGTCTGTGAGTGGGTGTGTGGGGGTGTGCATGCACCCATGTGCTCATGCACACCCATGCACGCAGGAATGGATGTTTCTCATCAGTTTTGGAGGGGAGATGGGGAGGCACTTGAGGCAAGGAAGCTGTGAGAAAAAAGTAAAAATCATGTCACCCCTTCTGGCCGAAATGCTGCAAAATATGGATGGTCCATCGTTACTGGAAGTCCTTGAGCTCTGATTGGCGAGTGATGACAAGCTTCCTAACTCTGGAAGGAATGTTGGGAAGCTGAGAAGGGCCACCTGAGCCACTCTCGCTTGCTAAATATTCTTGGTAGTCCTTTATTATTCTGGAATCCCTGCACTGTATTTATACCAAAACAATAAGTAAAGGATGCTTTAATTCCTGGTTTTACAGAAGATTTGTGGGTAATTTGCCCATAAGCAGGAAGGTTTTGTATAGATGTGAGGGTCAGACATTAAGCAACAGCCAAGACTGAGCTCTCAGCTCTCTGGCACAGCTAATTTTCTAGATTCTTTGGGCATTCATCCTATAGATTATCCACATTCTTTGCTTTCTCCCTCCTGCTGTCTGCCTTTTGGTCTTCAATCTGTTCATTTGCAACTCTACCAGAGGCAGCGACAGAAGATAGAACCAAATCAGTTCATTTGGGCCTCCTAAGTAGTTTTGATAAATAACTGAGTGGGAAAAGGAGGGGCTAAAATTAGATTTTAAAATTATCTGTGAATTCAATATGTCACTTACGTGTATTATCTACTGCTCCCCATGATAACTGAAAATAGACGGCAGCTGTCTGCAGCCAAAGTAGGTAGGAAACCACTGCGTCTGTGAAGACAGAGTTTGCCTCCGTGTGGGGCCTATCAGCAAAGCATCAGAAGGGGCCTGCAAAAGAAAGACGCTATAGGAAGGGTGAATTTTTTTTTTTTTTTTGGGTGGCTCAGTTGGTTAAGCGACTGCCTTCGGCTCAGGTCATGTTCCTGGAGTTCCGGGATCGAGTCCCACATCGGGCTCCCTGCTCAGCAGGGAGTCTGCTTCTCCCTCTGACCCTCTTCCGTCTCATGCTTTCTATCTCTCATTCTCTCTCTCTCTCAAATAAATAAATAAAATCTTTAAAAAAAAAAAAGGTTTATTTATCTACCTTAGAGAAAGAGAGAGAGCACAAACAAGGGGAGGGGCAGAGAGAGAGAAAGAGGGGAAGCAGGCTCCCCGGCTGAGGAGGGAGCCCAGTTGGGGGGGTGGGGCTCGATCCTGTGACCCTGAGATCTGAGCAGAAACCAAGAGTCCGAGGTCCCACTGACTGAGCCACCCAGGTGCCCCAGGGTAAACCTTTTTAATCCAATTTTATTATAAAGTCAAAAGGAAGAGGTATTGGTTTTTTTTTTTTTAAGATTTTATTTATTTATTTGAGAGAGATAGAATGAGAGATAGAGAGCACAAGAGGGAAGAGGGTCAGAGGGAGAAGCAGACTCCCCGCCGAGCGGGGAGCCCGATGTGGGACTTGATCCTGGGACTCCAGGATCATGACCTGAGCCGAAGGCAATTGCCCAACCAACTGAGCCACCCAGGAGCCCAGGAAGAGGTATTGTTTTAAGTGGCCCTGTACCTCCAGTAAATTTTCTAAGACTTGGGGTGTCGGGTCAACCGGCCCTTCGGCTGGTACTCGATTAGAAGTTTATGTCCTTTTCTCATATACTTACATTATTTCCAGAGACCGTTTGAGTAGAAAGGAAGTTTCATAGAGGATTTTTTAAAAAGATTTTAT